GTGAAAACAAATTAAGAAATTGTGTTTGCGGCAAAAGCTCATTTTTTTTAAGTAAAAAAGAATTTTGATAAAAAGGAAGTAGGAGGAGAGGGGGTGGGGGTGTGGGGGGAGAGAGTGAATTTGTTTTAAAAACCTCAATCAAATCAGACAGAGTTTATATAAATATTAGTTTTATGCAACGAGGTTTAATGGCAAAAAATGAAAAATTTGAAAAGGAGACTAAATAAAAACATAAATATATATATACATATAAAATGCGAAATTATTGAAATAATGCCTATTGGGAGTTTAGATCGATAAAAAATTTAAATTATTGAAAACATTTTTGGCGGGGGATGGGGGGGGGGCGGTAGCAGAAAACGCACTGAGATGGAACATTGAAAAATTTACGAATAAACCGCTCATTGTCTTTTATTAAATTTCGTATTTACAAAAAAAAATTTAGACACAATGGAATTCAGCCCCAAAAATAATTCTTTTTTAAACTATGGGGTAAATAATTATTTATGCATTTCGATGTGGATCCGAATTTAATGAATTTGAGCCGCGTCTTAAATCCGCCAAAAACCGGTTTCAATTGAGCGCCGGCTTAAATCTTGAAACATTGAATACTATTTTAAGTGGAACCAACCATGTTTGAGCCGATGCTTAAAACCAAGCCGCGCGGCTCAAATTCTTTAAATTCGGCCTTCGAACTCTTTTCTGTGAACTAAAGGATCAAAATCTAGCTCATTATTATGCTCTTGCAGTAAACTTTTCTTTATCTTTACTTGTTTGCTCCTATTAAGCTGAATTTGACGGACCAATGACAGTTGTCAAAACCTAACAAAATCCCTGCAGTGAATTTGCACTTGATGTTCTCAGTTTTGACCTTTATAATGTTTAAAATTCTGCGTGGTCAGGGGCTGTTTAAATAGGTATCCTTGATTCTGAAACTTTTTTTATCATTTGTTTGTCGAGATGTAATAGATAAATAACACGATAAGAAGGCCTCCCCCCCCCCCTCTCTAAGAGTCCAGCAAGAATTAGAGCTAAAGGGACTGGCATTTAAATTTCAAGTGACCATCCATATTGATAAAGTGGTATGTCCGATTTACAAGGATACCTAATAAACCTTTCTCAACTGACGTAGAGGATACTGTAGTTTTCTACCTTGAAAGTGTTTACATCTTACAATTCTCCTTTATTTTTTCTAAAGCACAAATTTGCAAGGTTATTGAGTAATTACGAGGAAAAAACCAACCAAGAAAATTGTAATTTTTTAATAGGAAACTATAGATATCTAATTTAGTATTGAATTGTCAAAGCCTGTTAGGTTACAGTTGTGAAACAAACTTGCCATCCTTGCCATTCTTTAAACAAAGAGTCACATAAAATGTTGGTCGGAGGGAGCATATGCAAGTAATGGGAATTTAAAAAAACAATCTAGAAGTTGAACTTCTGTTTTTGTTGAGATGATTTTTTTATCTTAATATTATTATTTATGTAAACAATGCTGTTACACTTTCCTATATTGAATCAAACCCCCATAAACTTTCAAACTATACAATACAAACCATTATAATACATAAAACTGTTTTCGATATCTATATATTTAAAATAAATATACAATCTCATGAAACCTAGACATGTAAACCATTACACAGATATTAAATATGTTAATACATATTTCATAGAAAAACTTTATAAGTATAAACCTAAAAAAGGTTTTGATTTTTATTTCGACGTTTTATAATTACAAATTATTAAAATGTACGATCGCTAAGACTAAAATGTTAATACCAATATGATTCCTTAATGTATCAAATTCAAAGTATTGAATAATTTTGAAGAAGAATTTTGTTGGAACAAATCTAAACAAATGCAAAATGGCAAGCTGGCGAAAAAAAGTCCTTTTTCCACGAATTTTCATTTTAGATATGCAATAGAAAGTTCTTCGTTTTCTAATGTTAGTACAGATTTCTTCTGTTAGACAGATTTGATATAGATATTCGTGTAAATAAGTTAAAATAATATTTAGCTAATTATTTCAAGACTTATAATCTGATCTCTCTTCGTTTCTTTTTAATTTTTTAATCTATTCTTATTTTTTCATATGTTTTATTAGGGTGAAAACAAAGTTATGTACTTTTTTATTGCAAACAAATGTGCCTACCATATTGCCAATAAACATCTAGCAAAATTATTTAACATGTTTTGTTGTATTGAAGGAGTTATGAACATGAATTGAAGGAGTTATGAACATGTATTGAAGGGGTTATGAAGATGCATTGAAGGGGTTATAAAGATTTATTGAAGGGGTTATGAACATGTATTGAAGGGGTTATGAAGATGTATTGAAGGGGTTATGAAGATGTATTGAAGGGGTTATGAACATGTATTGAAGAGGCTATGAAGATGTATTGAAGGGGTTATGATAATGTATTGAAGTGGTTATGAACATGTATTGAAGGGGTTATGAACATGTATTGAATGAGTTATGAACATGTATTGAAGGGGTTATGAACATGTATTGAAGGGGTTATGAACATGTATTGAAGGGGTTATGAAGATGTATTGAAGGGGTTATGAAGATGTATTGAAGGGGTTCTAAACATGTATTGAAGGAGTTATGAACATGTATTGAAGGGGTTATGAAGATGTATTGAAGGGGCTATGAAGATGTATTGAAGGGGTTATGAAGATGTATTGAAGGGGTTATGAAGATGTATTGAAGGGGTTATGAAGATGTATTGAAGGGGTTATGAGCATGTATTGAAGGGGCTATGAAGATGTATTGAAGGGGTTATGAACATGTATTGAAGGGTTATGAAGATGTATTGAAGGGGTTATGAAGATGTATTGAAGGGGTTATGAACATGTATTGAAGGGGTTATAAACATGTATTGAAGGGGTTTTCCAAACGACAGTCCCGTTTTGCCTCATATAGTCTATATTTGTACTGTAATGCTTGCCCTGGCTACTTGAAATTCAGCCCGGTACATGAAATTAACTGGATTGTACGTCTATAATCCCTTTAATTCTGGAATCAATAAAGAAACAAAGCCAATATGGTTTGTAAATATAATAATGTGTGTTTGTCCAATATATTATTGTGTCCAAGAACATTGTTATTTCTAGTTTGATTTATGATAAATAAAACATATATTAGATACGAATCATATAACAATACTACCGTTGTATATAACCATAATCATATAATTTATTATTATTGGGATATAAAAGATATTTTNGGATTTTTTTAATGCAAAAGTTAAGCACCACAAGGGTAATAATTTATTCATAGATTTGCACACTTACATCGCGCTAAGTTTGACGGCTGACCATAATTATTCATTTATTTGTAAAAGAGAAATTTCAATAATTATTCTCCATTACTGACAGGAGTTCAAGAAATCAAAAAGTTGGGTAAAGTGAAAGTGAAAACCAATATGCCTAAAATTCAAAAATTAAGGCATTTTATGATTTTTTCAAATCTCAAATAAACAAAATTTCGATTTTAAAATTACTTCACTACACTAACCTTGCTTTCTAATTTAAATTCAATTCAAATTCGAAAACCCTTTTGAAATAATTGATAAATTATGATTGAGCTTAGGTAAAAAATCAATTTAATTTTCGAAAAAAACGGTTTTCGAATCAGAATTTATCATAAAAAATCATCCAGACAAATCTGTGTTCCCAATCTGTTATCAAATGTCAATTTATGTAACTGCCTTGTGTTATCATGCGGGACAATTAAGTATTTTGCCGGGATTTTTACTTTTTTGTTTGTTTAATGTTTGAATTCAAGTTTGTTTAAACAAACAAGACACTTCTTGCACTCGAGGTCATGAAATGCGAGTACTAAAAATGCATGATAAAAAGTCACCCAAATTTGAATAAAACCAAATTTTTTAAGTCAAAATCTACAGAAGCTAACTTAGGCCACAAAATTATGAAATATACATTCATATCATTTTCACTCTCCCTTAAACAATTTTACCGCTGAGTTTAATAGTTTCTTGGCAAAGTACCTCTAGCTTTGCATGCTGAAAACTTGTAAAACTTGAGGGTGTAAAACGTTATGCCATGTTTATTATTATTATTCTAACGGGCCCTTGGTGCAGAATAAAACTTTAGTGCATTTATTATATTGTCCAAGTACATAGTTTAATTATTTTGATGGAAATGTTGCAAAATATTATGTTGAGATTGTGAATCGTGTTGAGATTGTGAATCTCTCAACGCTCTTCATAATTTACTATTCCGCGAGAAATCTTGCGTCTGCGCAGTCGGACTGTAAACAGTTCCTAAACTAGTTCTTTCACAATACATTCCGTACAGATCTTCAGGAGGAACTAAGAAACACACAGGGGCGACAAACAGACTTTCTATACGCAGCATGGCTCGCGTAACAAAAAGTAATATTATCAAATAAAAAATAATCTTAATTGAATTATCTAAAATTGTTTATTTAAGTAATATATTAGTTTTTTTGACGACAAAGATCCCTTTCCTCCATTTTTTTTATTTTATAAAATTTTAAAAAACGAACGTTTTTCAAAACGATCGTTTTAAAAGCGAACGTTTTCAAAACGATCATTTTTAAAAAACAAACTTTTTAAAAAACTATCGTTTTTAAAATAATCTTTCGTTTTCGAATTTTTGTCGTCGTTTTCATAACGTAACGATGGTTAAAAAAATGTAAAAGATTAACATCACAACGATTTCCTTAAAGCTTTGTATTTTCTCGTTAAGAATGAAAGAGATATCCATGTTTGTCTCGCTAAAATTCATTATTTTTAATTGTGATTTCTGTTCTAAAGTAAATTGAGTATTTCTCCGACAGAAACTATGTCCGAGAACACTTTAATAATTGATAGCTAAAAAACAACGATATTGTTCACACTATTGATAAACATAATTGAGCTATAAAATTAACCCACTTGTTTTTCTAATCCCAACTTTATGTGTTTGTTCAAAAAGTAGAACATTTTCTTTAAATATAATTTGTTTAGGTTTATATCCCGAGTAGTTTAATAGTTGTCATGTCTTGGGTTTCTTTCTGGTTGAATAGAGGAGCTGCCCCGGCCAGGTAAACATGCAATTTAATTCAGAAAGCTTCGCACCCATAATCATAGTGTTTATGTAAGGTTTCCAATGGGAATTATGTTGTGCAGAATAATGCGCAACTTTTTTTTTAATTTCGTGGAATTTCGCGGAATTGTGTGGAATTGTGTGGAATTGTGCGAAATTGTGCTGAATTTTGCGGAATTTTGCGAAATTGTGCGGATGCGCGGAAGGGCTCGAAATTCCGCGAAAGTAAAACCCACTTCTGATGGAAACACAGTGGTTTTCTAAATTTTCATTAGAGTCAAACAAAAGGGGAAAAAAGTTTTTTCCTTGTTTTTTTTCTTGGTGTATTTTTCCTGAACAGATTTTAATGCTTTTACTATACAAAAAAATAATTTCAAGTGACTCTCCGATCTGCATGCAAAGATGGCAATTCCAGATTCACAAAGGAGCCCTTGAAAACTTTGTCTGATCAATTATATGAATTACATTTCATTGTTTAAAACGTTTAAAATTCATAATTTTTAATCATGTTATCTGCAAAAGTACCTTGCGCTTTTCTACTGCAACAACTTATGTTGTAGTTATTATCAGAATTAAACACTTTTAAACCAAGTCAAATTACAATATCTCCGCTATTCTTGATTAAATAAAGGTTTTCAGGGTACTGTTGTTAATCGAACTCTTGTCATCTTGGGGGGTCACTTAGAATTACGGTTACAGTTCCTTTAATTATTTCTCTATTCTAGAGTTGGACTGGGTGTAACTACAGTGCTGACCATGACAACCCTAATTACGGTTACAGTTCCTTTAATTATTTCTCTATTCTAGAGTTGGACTGGGTGTAACTACAGTGCTGACCATGACAACCCTAATTACGGTTACAGTTCCTTTAATTATTTCTCTATTCTAGAGTTGGACTGGGTGTAACTACAGTGCTGACCATGACAACCCTAATTACGGTTACAGTTCCTTTAATTATTTCTCTATTCTAGAGTTGGACTGGGTGTAACTACAGTGCTGACCATGACAACCCTAATGGCGAGTGTCAATGCTGCTCTGCCTAAGATCTCCTACATGAAGTCTATCGATATCTACCTGGAGGTCTGCTTCTTCATGGTCTTTGGAGCCCTCATAGAGTACGCTATGGTGGGGTACACGGATAAGAGGATTCAGCTAAGAAAAAACCGGTTTCTTTCGATGCAGAAAGTTCTGGAAGAAAAACGACAAGAAGCAGTGAAACAGGTGTGTTTGTTGTGTAAAATTTAAGTCCTAGAGTCCAGAATTTGCAGATCCAAGGGGTATATTATCAACTAAAACTGGTGTGTTTGGTGTGTACAATTTAAGTCCTAGAATCAAGGATCTGCAGATCCAAGGGGAATATTATCAACTGAAATCCAGGATCTGCAGATCCAAGGGGTAAATTATGGGTATATTATCAACTGAAATCCAGGATCTGCATATCCAAGGGGTATATTATCAACTGAAACTGGTGTGTTTGTTGTGTAAAATTTAAGTTCTAGAATCAAGGATCTGCAGATCCAAGGGGTATATTATCAACTGAAATCCAGGATCTGCAGATCCAAGGGGTATATTATGGGTATATTATCAACTGAAATCCAGGATCTGCATATCCAAAAGGCATATTATCAACTGAAACAGGTGTATTTGTTGTGTAAGATTTAAGTCCTAGAATCCAGGATTTGCAGATCCAAGGGGTATATTATCACCTAAAAAAAGTTCTATTAAACTAATGTGTACTTTATTAATCTTTGACACTTCTTTGCAAATTGCATTAAATACGTGCTGTAAAGTAATCATCATGGACTAAAGTGTTAAATAAGCGGTAAATTGTCGCACGATGCTATAAAGTTTCATTGATTTCCGGATGTTATTAACAATTTGTATGAATATTTCTTAAAAATATATTTCAATTTTCAAAACAAATTAATTTAACTTTTAGATACTTTTCTGTTTTTGCTTTTTTAAAAAGCCTATTATATGCATTAAAGAAGCAATTATATCACATTTATTAAATTTTAAAAAATAAAATACCAAAGCACGCGAAACAAAATATTAGTAAAAATAAAGAAAATATAAAAAGTTTTCCCTAGTAAAGAAATTGAAAAAGAACTTAAAATGAAATAGACCGGGGACCCGATGCGAAAATCTTTATGCAAAGTAATTTGATTCCCCAAAAGTATTCAATTCTATTTTTTAAATGGTGGCGAAACTAATAATGTTTTTGGTCTAATTTTATACATGAATAGTGTTTTATTTTTACAAAGAATAACACTCCTTATATAATCTCTTATTTTCTTATCTCTATATCTTTGCATAAACATTTGATATTTCAAACTTTACGTTCTGTTTTAATAACAAAGTCTAAGTTTGAAATATCAAAGGTTTAAACCATCAGGTTGCAAAGATATAGGGATTAGAAAATTAAGTTTTAGCAAAAACAGCAAAAACTCAAGTCATTACCAAATTTTAAGCTATTTTAAAAAAGGCCAAAAATGAAATCTAAAATACTTTTTCTTTTTCGAAGAGTGTTTTGAGATTTTTGCTACATATTTTCTTTTTCTTTTTTACGTTTAGAGCTAAATTTATATCCCTTAACTATTAACTATTTAGATTGAGATACAGAATGCCCTTGAAACAGCTGAATTAATAAAAATAACCAACTCCAACCCATATATAAGAACTCCTAGGAACGAACGATATCAACGAGAGGTGAGTTTATTAAAGGAACTGTATACATGATTTCAGGTTTATTAAAGGGACTGTAGAGTGTAGACGGGATTGTAAGTTTATTAAAGGGACTGGAGACGTGATTTCAAGTTTATTAAAGGTACTGTAGAGATGATTTCAAGTTTATTAAAGGCACTGTATACATGATTTCAAGGTTATTAAAGGGACTGTAGACGTGATTGTAAATTTATTAAAGGGACTGTAGACGTGATTTCAAGTTTATTAAAGGGACTGTAGACGTGATTGTAAGTTTATTAAAGGGACTGTAGACATGATTTCAAGTTTATTAAAGGGACTGTATACATGATTTCAAGTTTATTAAAGGGACTTTCAAGTTTATTAAAGGGACTGTATACATGATTTCAAGTTTATTAAAGGGACTGTAGACATGATTTCAAGTTTATTAAAGGGACTGTAGACGTGATTTCAAGTTTATTAAAGGGACTGTATACCTGATTTCAAGTTTATTAAAATGACTGTTGACGTGATTTCAAGTTTATTAAAGGGACTGTATACCTGATTTCAAGTTTATTAAAGGGACTGTAGACGTGATTTCTAGTTTATTAAAGGGACTGTAGACGTGATTTAAGGTTATTAAAGGGACTGTAGACGTGATTTCAAGTTTTTAAAGGGACTGTATACCTGATTTCAAGGTTATTAAAGGGACTGTAGACGTGATTTCAAGTTTATTAAAGGGACTGTAGACGTGATTTCAAGTTTATTAAAGGGACTGTATACCTGATTTCAAGGTTATTAAAGGGACTGTAGACGTGATTTCAAGTTCATTAAAGGGACTGTTTATCTGATTTCATGTTCACTAAAGGGACTGTAGACGTGATTTCAAGGTTATTAAAGGGACTGTAGACGTGATTTCAAGTTTATTAAGGGGACTGTTGACTTGATTTCAAGTTAATTAAAGGGACTGTAGACGTGATTTCAAGTTTATTAAAGGGACTGTAGACGTGATTTTAAGTTTATCAAAGGGACTGTAGACATGATTTCAAGGTTATTAAAGGGACAATTGACATTATTTCAAGTGGGCCTGGATTCATACAAATAGAGGGTTATTTAAAATTACGTTGAAAGGTCCGTTAACCCTAAACATTTTTACACTTTCACTTTGATAATATTAATTTAAATGTTTTTGGGATTTTTTTAATGCAAAAGTTAAGGTACTGCACGGCCAGTCCGTGTGAAAAAAGCTAATAACTTCTTTTTTTATCTAAGATACATATCTTAAAGCTTTTTTTAATACGCTTAAAAAATACAGGAAATCTGTTTTTGACTTTCACTCATATAAATTGTTGTAACAAAAAAGTATGAGGCCTGGAAAGAAAAATTTTGAATCATGAAATAATTAAATAATTGAAATATAGAGCTTTCTATAAACGACACCTTAATTGTAAAAATTAAACGAAAATTGTTTCCTCATTAACTGCACAGTTTCGCTGGGTCATATTTTACTCTACAGAGGTTTGGTCCATCACTATCATCAACAATTAAATATATATGTATAAGTATAGTTTTGTGGGGCACTTCCTATATAGGATATCCCTTTAAATGGCCAATTGTGATGTTTGATAAAAGACCATATATATCTATAATAAGTTGCACTTTTACTCATATCTTTTAAAATCCAGAGTCATTTAAGCTTTTTCATCTTCAAAATTAACAGAAAGGAAGTGAGTCTTTGACTCAAACTCAAATTGATCTCTTTATCTTTACAACCTAATATTTCAAACGTAGATTATTTCATCTACACACAGTTTGAAAAATCGGGTATATATAGGGATAAATAAATCAGAGTTTGTGGCAAAGTCTCAATTCCTTTCTTAATATCTTGGTAAACTTTAAAACTAATTTTTTGACAAATTACATTTTGAAATTTAGCATTAACTGTTATTAACTTACTTTTACAAAGAAAATACTGCGTTATTCATAGAAGATATAGAAAACAATAACTCAATTTCAAAAATTCAATGTTTTAACCCTATCCCTGCTGGGGTACTTGAAAACCAGGATATAATGGGGGGGCGTCAAGTTGACCCCCCCCCCTCTAAATCCCATGTTTTATGTCCAAATATGACAAATGATACATCATTGGAAAGTTCTTGTGCTCTACTTTTATAATCTGCAAAGAAATTTGCAAATTTGCAAAATATGAATTTTTATCGCAAAATCCAGTTATATAGTAAAAATGTTTGCAAAAAAAATATTTGTCCAAAAAATGAATAATTATACATTTTTGAAAAGCCCTTGACCAATCCATTTCAAATATGCAAAATATTTTGCAAAATTTTAATTAGCCTGATTTTTAATCAAGAAAAACTAAAAATATGCAAATTTCCTTTAAGAGGTTGTTTGCAAAAAATTTGCAATTTTTTTTTCGCAAAACTTTTGCAATCCGTTTTCTTATGTCATAGGCTTTCCAAAAAGCTAAATTTCATCAAAATCTGACAAGTGAAAGTGGGTCAAAACAAAGATTTAGTTTATTACAGGCAAAAGCAGACATTCAGGCAGTGTGCCTGAGGACTCAGGCAGTTAGTATTAAAGCCCGGTTTTAGGCCTAAAGGGAGGGCTTTGGGTATGTAAGAAAAGTCAGAAAATTTCAACAGCCTCAGACCAATACTTTTTGAGTTATGTAAAAAAAACTATTGGTCTGAGGCTGTTGAAAACCTAACCTAACCCCTCAGCAGGAATAGGGTTAAGTGCGGTTTTAGGATTTAAGATAGTTAATATAGGCTTATGGCGAAAAGTAAGCGCTTTTGATCGCTACTAATCTTACTTTTATCTCTTGCGTTTTTAATGAGAAAAATGTTCTAAACGACTGATGCTGAAGAACGAATACAAATTCAACTCGGATAATAAAATAATCTATTTGACTCTAAACAAATAATTTAGATATTTATTTTTTGACGCATTAGTATATTGTGAATATTAAATAATATTTTTGATCTTTTACAAATGATATTTCGCAGGCGCTGGATTTTTGAACTATCCTGGAAAATATGAAAATGTCGTCTTCATTATCAAAAATCCTCGAAACAGGAATTATTTTCAAAAGTAACTCTCAGATCATAAAAAATAAGAAATATTATAAAATATCAATTATATACGAATGCGTCGAAAACTTATTGATGATTATTGGCTATAATATCTGAATGATTTGTTTGGAATTAAATTCATTGGTCAAAAGCCTTTGGAGTAATAATCCAGGGGGGTTCCCCCTAATTTCACTCTGGGGGTTAATGGACTGCCCCCCGCAACATGTTTGTAGTTTAAAAAGCAAGCTCTCCTCCCCCCCTCCTTTTATTCGATATAATTGTTAATTAAAAATGTTGTGGATATGTCAAATTTGCATAAATGTTTGCAATCTGGAATTTAAACTATGTATATTAAAGTTCTTTATGAAAGATCTCCGTCTTTAATATTCAATCTATGGAATACCTTCATTCTTTGACCAACTGGATTCTTATTCAAATTTTTCAATTATTTTATATATGAACTCTCAGAGCCGGAAATAAAAAAAAACTAATTTTATGAAATAATCTTTTCAAACCAAAAATTCATTTTGATCTACAACATTTTCTGACCTCATTCTTATACACTAGGTTACAATTGCATAACTATAATCTGATTTTTGTTCGCTGAAATTGACAAGGGTATAGCACTAAAATGTTTACAAGAGGGGAGGGGGAGAACTTCCCTAAGCCCCTCTTATCCAATTATATATATTTCAATAATTCATAAACTATTTAAAAATTCTGAACTAGTCTCTCATTACAACCTATCTTGTCTTTCCTGAATATATTATCTACCCCAATCTTGAACCTTTTCTCTCCTTCTATGTCCTNTTCTCTGTCATTTATCATTCATTCATTCTTCTCTTCCACCTCTCTCATCCCTTCTCCTCCCCAACTCATCTCATTGGCATTTATGTCATTCATCATTCATTCATCCTTAATTTCCTTTCCCCCGTTATTTTGGCTTCCATGTCATTCATCATTCATTATTGCTTCTCTTCCCCCCTCTTCTCTCAGTCACTCATCCCCCTTCCCCTCTTCTCTTTAGATTTCCCTCTACACGGCCCTCTCTCTTTTTCTCGAACTCTTTCTAATGTAGCCTCCCATGCCAGTACTCCTTCTCCCCTACTCGACCATCCTTCTAACCATCTCCACCTAGTTCTTTTCTCTCACCTTCTCGATGTGGCCTTTACATTCCCTACCACCATCTCTGCCATTCCTTTCGCCCTAGGAAATGAAAGTTTGTCTGTATATTCCTATTGAAAATGCAGGTCACACTTTTACCAAAACTTTTAAACTTTCTGCCTTTCCTACAAATTCCCTCATTAGACCAAATTTCCCATTTATAATTTGAAATAAAGTATTCGGTTCTTAACAATGTTAATTGCAGGCCAGTGTTCGGTTTCACACTTGCTGTATGATGACATGCACACTGAATGGAGGCCATGAACATCATGACACGTTGCCGAGGAATGGAAAGGAAGACGACTCACGGCAGCAACTGCAAATACAGTTACCGCCACCTCTCCCTCCGGCACAGCCGCCCAATAGAGTTCTCGGCATGCGCGCTAGTGATATTGATAAATATAGCCGAGTCATATTTCCCATTATGTTTCTAACATTCCACCTCATGTATTGGATGATTTATCTCAGTATTTCAGGGGAAGTACCAGAAGATTTGGTTTATCTGGAGAAAGAGTAAAGATGAAAGATTAACCAAACAGGATTTTAGATTTCTTTGAATTACAGAGAAGTTATCAAAAAAATTAAAATTGTGTTTCTTCATGTGCAGTGTTCCATTAAATGCAAATGAAGATATTGTTTTACTTCCGGCTATAAAGTCATCTCAAACTAAAAAAAAATAAGAAGAAAGTTTCTTTAATGAAATTAATTTTCTGTAGTTCAAAGAGACCAAATTAAATTAAAAAGAATTGATTTGCGCACCACTGAACTAGGTATTTGGTGCGTATTGCAGTGAAGCGACCGAAAAAAGTAGTGTTTAGCACAAGGTTGCACATATTTTCACTTTAAAGCATGATCTTAATTTTTGTTGTATACACAAATTTTCCCTAACATGGTGCATGATTTTACCTAATTTATTTTTTATAAATTTAGAGAAAGACTTGGTCAAAAATTGATTTTTGCTAAAGTAACATTGATTCAAGATATGAGTGTACTGTGTTATGCATTGGGCATTGTCAATACTTTTAAAAATCCTTCCAGTTGTTGACGGTATTTTTCAAAAAATTTCAAAAACTTTAAACTGACAGTGCGACAACCATTTAATAAAAGGTGGTGGTCCTAAATTAAAAAAAATTGTTTAAGTCAGTTAGCCATAAAAAATTCAAATATTGTAAAATCATTTTTTGTATATTTAAACTTTTTTTAAGATTCCGTTTTCAAAAATCTAAACCACAGCCCTACAGCATTGTATCAAATACTGCAGAACCAAGGATATAAATGAGACAACTACCATAGTCCGGTAGATATATAATTACAATGCCAGCAAATAATTCTAATGGAAGCTTTGAATTTTCTTTCAAAAATAGATTTTGTTGATTTTTTTCTTGTCTTAGTTTTTTTTGGCTTCTGAGCACAATAAGTCCGTTTAACATTTGTAATTTTCAAAATTTGTTTTTGTTTTCTAAAGTTCCTCCAGGGCCAGGCCACTAATACCCCTGGGCTTTGAAAAATAATGAAAAATATAAAGTTTTTTGGGGTCTAAAAAAATTTGAATTCTCTTATAAGTACACATTTAATTTTATCTTTAAAAATATTTCTGAGAGGGTAGATTTTTGTAAAAAATATTTACCCCTGAGTGAATAAATGTACAAAGTTTTCTGGTTGTTTTGAAAGAGTAACTTTCAAACTTTGCTGAAAACAGTTTTTACCAAAAATATTATGATTTGATAAGAAAATTGGTCTTAAAAACTAAGTTAAATATAAGGAGTAAAGACAACCAATTATCATTACAAATATGAAATCATTTTGTGAGTTTTTGTTGTTTGTTTTTAAAAAACTAATGAAAGAAAATTACACAAAAGTATTTTTACAAGACTTTTATAAGATTTAAAGTATTAATGAATAGTATTACTATGTATCTTTAGGTAATTAACAGAACCAATATTTGCATGGGTGTGTGTAATTAAATGCTTTATTTCAATGTATGTTGTCGTTTAAAATGTTTAAAACCTATATTAGATATATATTAATGTTTTCAACCCAAATGTGTAGATATATATTATATTTCAAATGCCTTTAAAAGGTCGCAAAGAAAGCTCAAAGTAGGTTTAATCATGCAGAAGTTAAAAAAGTCATGCTTAAAAAAATCATATACTTATTGTATCGTAATCTGAATGTAAATGTGTAAATTGGGTGCTTTGTAAAAATTAACTTTTCAATGTTGTAGCTTCTGCATTAAATGTCTTATCATTTAAAAACAAAACCAAATATGATGGAATCTCTCAAACCTTTTTTTGTGATTTAGTCTTTATAACACCAATCCCAAAAGTTTCTAAAAGATTACTTTTTGAAAAATTTTAATGAAAAACTAGCTCCGGTTTTATTGATAATGACGATGTAATTTAAATTTGAATAAGGGCGTGTCTGACAACCTTGAAACCTTTAAACCTTGCTTTGTCGGAAAAAAAATTGTGAAAATATATTTCCTTGTTTTCATATATAAAATTTTAATTTCATATTGTGATCTCTCTATAAAAGTTGTTTGGGGATTTTATTCGGCGGATTACGGGGACCGTTGTAATTGTGCATCAAACATGCCCCTCTTGGGGGTAATTTGAAATCATTATTTTTGTCAAGTTTTTTATTATTTTGTCAATAGATTTTATGATGATGATATATTTAAAAATGGCGTGGAAACAAATTGAGCCATGCTTGCCAAAAAACGCGGGAGACAAGGGTAATTATGGTAATTTCATCGTTCTCTAGCCAATCTTTATACGTACACAGTATAATAGACCTTCGTTATTTATTAAATCATTATCTTCATTGTATTATATTTTATGTAAAAGTTTGTTTTCCATTGATTTTTTGAAGGGCTTTGTTTCCCAAATTTCAGTTTTAGTTGACTTTTTCCTTAATTTTTCCAAATTGATGTTATTCCCAAGAGTAATTCCCAATCAAAACGGTTTCTTTCAACGATTATTTTTCCCGATAAAATTGTCTTATTTGATCTTCCTTTCAACAGTATTTTACCACATGCCTTTCTTCTTAATGTATATTTTTATCTAATTCTACGTTTTTGGAGAGACACATCCCAAGGTCGACCAATGCAGTTAGACTAGATTAGTTAGATTTTACTTTGGTCAAAGGAACTGAGTTTTTATCACAAACTCAAATTGTCTAATGCCTATATCTTTACAATCTGATGATGTAAACCTTTGATATTTCAAACTTAGATTATTTTGTCTAACAGAATTCATAGTTTGAAATATCAAAGGTCTACGACATTGGGTAGCAAAGATATAGAGATTAGAAAAGTAGAGTTTGTGACAAAAACTCAGTTCCTTTCCCCTTGTGGTGCTGTATTTTTTTGGTTTGGTTTGTAGGACTTCTTAATTGATACTTTTTGGTAGTTAATCAAAAACAAAATGATAAAGATCTCTTCAGAAGATCTTTTTTATTTTAAGAAAATCCACTTATTTTGTTTGATTGTTTTTTATTTACTCTTGGAGTCATATTACATTATATTTTATATTTGTTGCACGCAGAACTTAAAGAAAAAGCATTCTCATAGTGTTAGATCTAGTGTGTTTTATCATCTAATTAACATAATTTTAAAGGGATTGTAAGATTTTTCAAAATAGATTCAAAATTGTTAATATTATTACCCTTTGATAAAATAGGAAAGAAAAACATTTGAAAACTATATGATCTTTAACCTTAAAATTGAATAAGAATTGTAGACAAATTTTACAAACATTTCGATGTCAAAAATTACATTTTCCATTATTTAAAAAGTTGAAAATATTTGAACAATCCCTTTAAATAATGTCTTGGTGTTTCATGTTGCAATTTTAGATCAGTAAATGTGACAAAAACTTTGTATCAAATTATATGAAATATAACTTAAAGTGTTTGTATCAACTTTATTTAGAAGATGCATCGCACACAGAACATTTAAAAATAATTTATCTAAATATATAATATTGTTCACTCTAAATTGGTTAAATGTAAATGTTTAAACGAATTTATAATTATGCAAAGTTAAAAAATGTTGCAAAAAGTTATTGTCCTATACCAATAAATAAGTTTAAAATGTTAAAATTTAAATAATTATATAATGTGTATGTAATCACATGTATGTTCCCACATAATAAACAATAAAGCTTTCACCCTCATCACTAAAATACAATTTAAATAATTATATAATGTGTATGTAATCACATGTATGTTCCCACATAATAAACAATAAAGCTTTCACCCTCATCACTAAAATACAATTTAAATAATTATATAATTATATATAATTATATATAATTTATATACGTGTATATTATGCAAAAATATTGCTGAAATTTAAGGGGAAAATAACAATTGTTTATCTCATACTTTAATAAAGATTTAATCTTTTCCATCTTTTGTAATCTTCCCCTTTAATCTGAATCTGGTTGGTGCAGCGAGCCACATCTGTTTACACTGAATGGAAACTGTTTTCTACATCGATGTGGTTCAAATTGTAATTATGTAATGTACTGTTATGTACTGTAATTGTACTGTATAGAAATAAAATCTTAATAATATTTAAAAGTACAGATGAAGATGATCTGTAATTTTAGTCATAGAGAATTTAAAGATTTTGAGCCGCGGTTTTAATTTAAGACACGGCTAAAGCTACATTTAGAACTATAAGGCACTTGTTTCAACTTAAGTTTTCAGAAATTAATTGGCAAAATTTGTATTTATGTTAAATGTTAAATTCTGATATTTTCTCCATTGTCCTTTCAGAAAAAGTTCATGCGCATACGCAGATTTTTTGTACTGCAGATCTTATGAGGAATATAAAAAATTCAAGATTTTGATAATTTTGTATTGTATATTTTGTTCAGATACAGGTGTTGACCGATAAAGATTACAAGTAACGATGGGCATAGATTTTTTTGATTGAACAAAATTGTTTAAAACGTATAAATTTATCGCAAACAAGTGTGCCGTTCAGAATAAAATAAATGATGGATAAACAAAAAAGATCATTCACAAAAATGAAAAATGTTCGTTATTATAAAACGAATGAAAAATAACACGAACGATTTAAAATTATTATTTGAACGATCTTTATCGTTCATCAACGATTTTTTTAAATGAAAAAAGTTTCCAAATTTTAAAAACTATAGTTTTTTTACTGCATGAACGAGTTTACGAACAAATGTTTTCAAATCAATAGTTTTTTACAAAAAAATATATTTTTGAAAAACTTTTGAGAAAACTTTTTTTTACGGAACGAACGATTGCATTTTTTCTGAACAATTCAATTAACGGATATTTAACTGAGTTTATTCCAATACAGCAAGGACATACTTTGAACCAGTATGTTTTGCGTGAAATTTATTTTTTAGAGGTTTTATGAAAATATATTTGATTCCATTAAATAAAATGTTAATAAAAAAACTTTGTTTAAAAGAAAGTAATAAATTTTTTTTTTCTTTATATTTTTTTGATATTTAATTGAAATGGTTGGATATTTTGGAGCAATAGACACAAACATTGAGCAAATAATAACAAAAACATAAGTTTTTGCCAAAAGTTTTTTAAGCTATTGGCTTCATATTGAACATTATCAACATTATCAACATTATCAACATCATCAATATTATCAACATTATCAACATTTAAAAAATTATCAAAATCCTCAACATTATCAACTAAATCAACATTACAACATTAACAACATTATTAACATTATCAAAATTATCAAATTTATCAACATTATCAACTTTGTTAACATTATCAACTTTGTTAACATTATGAACATAGTCAACATAATCACATTATCAACATTTTCTATATTATCAATATTTTCTATATTATCAACATTATCAACATTATCAACATTATCAAAATTATCAACATTATCAAAATTATCAAAATTATCAACATTATCATCATTATCAACATTATCAACATTATCAAAATTATCAACATTATCAAAATTATCAACATTATAGATGAAGTGTGTTTCTCAAAAATTCAACAAAATTTCAATTTGTTTAAATAACTAAGTAGTTTTTACCTTTATGTTTGTTTGTTGCATAAAATGTACGAAAGTTTTAACATTTTATCTTTCCTAAGAGATAGATAAAATGTTACAAGAACATTAGAAATAAATGTTTCCTCTCTCCTTACTTTTTAGATAAAACCAAAGTAAAGCTAATATTGCCGACATTAAACATAAAAACTTTGCAATTTAAGTTTTTCATGACTCTCTCAATCTTTGTTTCAATCTTGCTCTCTCTCTCTCTCTCTCTCTCTCTCTTTCTCTCTCTCTCTCTCTCTCTCTCTCTCTCTCTCTCTCTCTCTCTCTCTCTCTCTCTCTCTCTCTCTCTCGCTAATGAATGATTCTTGAAACCATTGTATTCTCCTAGTCCTGGCATTTCCAAAAAGTGGTCTGCCATTTTTGTGTTATAAACATCTGGGGGAGGGTCCCAGGAATCCCCCCCCCCCTCTATATCCTTAATATGATACAAATATATAACATTTGATACACTTTTGGAAAGCTCTTCAGCTCTACTTTAATAATCTGCCA